GTGATGATTCCAACCCTATGATCATTGACTGCCTGGCAAGAGGAATGAAATCTCTGGGAGCTAAGGCCACAGGTGTGGTTGCTGTAGCCTTAGCTCCCAGCCTAAGGCTACAGGTGTATTCATCTGCACCAATTCTGGACTGCAGCTGAGGGATCCCTGCCTCCTTCTGCTTTCATGCAAGTAGGAGTGGGATCAGTGCTGCTCTGATGGGATCCCTGTCCCCTCCTGCTTGCCCTGCTTGCATGCAAGTAGGAATGGGTCTGGGCAGGGCAGGTCTTCCTGTTATATATCTGCTGGGATTGTCAAGGCATCTGACCCTCGCCTGAATCTCATAGCTCTCTGCCACCGCCTCTGCCCCTCTGCCACCGCCATCGCTGCAGCATCAACATCCTGAACGTGTACTGTAGTATTTATTTAGCCACACACACCCCTGGCTGACCAGGTGGGTGGCGCTGTGGGGGACACGGGTGGCGCTGTTGGTTAAACCACAGAGCCTAGGATGTGCTGATCAGAAGGTTGGCGGTTCAAATCCCCATGACAGGGTGAGCTCCCATTGCTCGGTCCTTACTCCTGCCAACCTAGCAGTTCGAAAGCATGTCAAAGTGCAAGTAGATAAATAGGTACCGCACCGGTGGGAAGGTAAACGGCGTTTCCATGTGCTGCTCTGGTTCGCCAGAAGCGGCTTAGTCATGCTGGCCACATGACCCGGAAGCTGTATGCCGGCTCCCTCGGCCAATAAAGCGAGATGAGCGCCGCAACCCCAGAGTCGGCCACGACTGGACCTAATGGTCGGGGGTCCCTTTACCTTTACCTTTACCTTACCTCCGGCTGACCAGATTGGTTGACCCAAGGAGTGACACAGCCGGGGACTCCCTAATGGCACGGGGGCTAGCTACACTTCCCGCACAGAAGGGAGAGTTCATGATGAGCCCGCAAAAAGGAAATGGCTTTGGTGGGCAGGCACTCAGGGGCCGCAAGAGATTGCTTTTTCAAAATTGCCTGGGGGGCCATTTGAAACCAGCCTGGGGACTGCAAGTGGCCCCCGGGCCAGACTTTGGACATGCCTGCCTTGGTCCAATGACCGCACACCACTGCAATACAATCCTAAGTGGCTTTATTGCTGTTCTGTGGTACGTTGGTGTGAACATGAAGTCAGGGACACCTGGAAATGGAAGACACAAGCAGAGAAGCAAATTCTGAAGCTGGCACTCAGCTGGGAGGTTTAGTCACGCAAAAGAAAAAGAATCTTCCTTGGGGGTGGTAGAGCCAAACTCTCTCGGGAGACTTTCTCTAGAGAGAGCTCCTTCTTTATCTGAAGTGTGGGTGGGAACGTAAATGCCACAGTTAGCAAAAGACCCGTAAGCTGTCTCTGAAATATGCACCGGTGTCTTCTGCATAAACATGCCCCATTTTTGCAGTGCGGGAGGGAAGGTCTGGCGAAATGCAGATCCGTTTGAGCCAAGCTGGGACCATCCCTGAAACGTTTTGGCCCAAACGTCACGGGAAGCAGACAGGGAGGCACATCTCTTCCTGGCTTTTCTGAAGAAGAGAAGTTGGGGGAATTGACAAGAGTTGATTAACTTAAACTCTGGCACATTGAGGTCGAAATCCATCTTGTCAAAAATACATCACTTGCACTCAATACTTTTAACGAGAGAGAGAGAGAGAGAGAGAGAGAGAGAGAGAGAGAGAGAGAGCGCATATGCTGGAAACTTGAGAGATGATAAATCATAGAGCAGTTGCCGTCTTGCTTCAAAAAGATCCATCATTTGCTTGGAATGCATAAATATGTTCCTCAATTCTCTTCCCTACTTTTTCTTAGTATCGAACAGCTGGCTCAGGCCCAGCAAGCCTCCTCATCCTCCAGTTGCACCTGAGGAAGGGAAGGCGGGAGGGAACACGCAGGAGAGGAAGTTTGCTTAAGAATAAAGTTTGCAGTGGAGTAACCAGGAGATAGGGACGTGGGTGGCGCTGTGGGTTAAACCACAGAGCCTAGGACTTGCCGATCAGAAGGTCAGTGGTTCGAATCCCCGCGATGGAGTGAGCTCCCATTGTTCTGTCCCTGCTCCTGCCAACCTAGCAGTTCGAAAGCACGTCAAAGTGCAAGTAGATAAATAGGTACTGCTCCAGCGGGAAGGTAAACGGCGTTTCCATGCACTGCTCTGGTTCGCCAGAAGCGGCTTAGTCATGCTGGCCACATGACCCAGAAGCCGACTTCCTCGGCCAGTAAAGCAAGATGAGCGCCGCAACCCCAGAGTTGGTCACGACTGGACCTAATGGTCAGGGGTCCCTTTACCTTTTTAACTAGGAGATAAGGAGGCCATTTCACTGTGGCCCATATAACCATTGAGCTATAGCTGATGTCCACTTGAGGCCATAGCTCAGTGGCGGAGCATCTGCTTTGCATGCAGAAAGTCCCAGGTTCAATCCCAGCATCTGGGATAGAAACCCTGCCTGAACCCCTGGACAGCTGCTGCCAGTCAGTGTAGACAGTACTGAGCTAGGTGGACTGATGGTCTGACTCTGAATAAGGTAGCTTCCTGTGTTTCTGTGTACCTCTGGTTGCCACTAGGATTTTAGTATCTTGAGAGTTACACTGCACTCTTCATCTTTCCACTCTTCCTCCAAATAGTGTGGCTCATCTAGGAACAGTGAATAAATTTGGTTCACTGCACATTCTAATGCAGACCTACTTAATTCCCATTCCCCAAGGTGGTTTTGGTTTGATGTTTGCACATCTCTGAATTTTGTGATGCAGTTCTCCAACCCTCCCCCCCAAAAAAAAAATGTGTGCGTTAGGGCCAAGTGTGTATACAGTAGTGAATATAGCAAACAAAAGAGCATTGTATTGGGCAAAACTGCTTCCACAACTGTGTGTATTAGGAGACATGTGCGTTAAGATGCTGACCAACTTTAATAATAATAATTGTTAAGTGATGCAGAAATGTCAACTGAACTGAAGACTGGAAAAATGAGAAACCGAGAGGAGCCAAAATTGGCAGATTTGCCCATCCTTAGACTGATGGGTATAAAAAGATGGCAAAGAAGCACTCTATTTAATTTTTAAAGCAAGTTTGACCAAAAAACAGCAGAAAAAGAAAACATCAGCTCAGATTAATACTAAAATGACCATCCATCTCTAAAAGAGAAAGGAATCATGAAAGCTGCCTTTTAGGTAGATTGCCTCTAAGCCACTCTTAATTGAGCATTGTGTTCTATGGGACACTTCTCACATTGCAGCCTGGTGCTTCCAGTCGTTTCAGGCTCACAGCTGTCAACTTTTCCCTTTTCTATTCGGAATAAGGGAATTTCCCCTTAAAAAAGGGAAACGTTGACAGCTATGTTCAGGCTATAGATCCCATCTGCCCCAACCTGCACCCTGCAGGACACCAGTTTGAGGGCAGCTGCCATAGGAAAAGCCAATACCTTGGGTAGAGCCCAGGAGGCAAAAGGGATTCCTCTGAGACGGCTGCCAGGAAACCTTTCAGGCATGCAGATTTTGGCTGGGGCAGGAATACCATTGACAGCCACGGGGAGCTGTAGCAGCCCAGGCTTGCTTCCCCTCTGCCAGGCGCAGCATCCGACAAATTTATTACAGGGAAGCATCAGCACTCAGAAGACCTCACCGGCAGTGAGCAATTCTTCAGGCGGCGCAAGTGGCGCATGTTACCGAGATGTCAATTTAATAATTCAATCTCAGCTGCCAAACTGACCCTCTGGAGAGGGGGCTTGGGAAATATCAGGTGCTTTATTGGCTTGGATGAGAGAGAGAACCTGCTGCCCTCTTCTTCTGGGCCCAGGGAGGGAATTCTGCCGAGACGGTAGCATAACCCGCTTGTGGGAGACGGCTTGAAAGGCTGCGAGGACAATGCAAGGCTGCAAAGTGGTGGTGAAATGCAAAGCCCAAGATAAGAGGCAGGATCAGCACAGAACTTTGTACTGCGAGGGGCACCATCCCTCTGTTTACAGTAATGCCTCTGAATACCAGTTGCCGGAAACTGCAGGAGGGGAGTGTTATGTATTCAGTGGACTAAGGATTCTGAGCCCCTTGTGACGTTAACATATGAGAGTGCTGGAGGTGAAATAGTTAAACAGGTTACCCAATCAGGACCCAGGGGGTGGAGTCAGAGGGACTATAAAACCAGCTCTGGGAGGGGCAAAGGGAGGAGTTCATTGGGTGGTTGGTAGGTGTGGAGTGAATTGGGTATAGAGTTTGTGGATAGGTTGAGTTAGTGTAGTGAAATAAACTGAGTCAGGAACAGTTAGGGGCTAGGCAGACAAGTAAATATCTGAGAGGTGGTTTAGTGAGTGAGAGCAGGTAGCAGAAGTTATAGCTCTGGATAGGCACCCCATGAATGTAATTGACTGATACTGTTTATGAAACCACACGCTTGTTAAACTGCAATAAATAAACAAAAGTTTATGTTTCAATTTAACCCTGACTGGACTCAGTATTGTCCCAGAAAGGGCCTGGGTGGTGGCAGCGAGAAATAAAGTGGTGGCACAGTCATCAATAGATGGTGAAACGTCCAGGGACCCTGTGTGATCACCACACCCCTGTGTTCTGATTCGATACATGGTATCCAATCACAGAGCATTTCAGGATTTGGCCCTCTGCCATTGGCCCTTGAATTCTGAGTCATGATTCGCAGCTTGGAAGCTTAGACAGCCAATCACGTTGGGAGTGGCCCAGGCCTTCAATAATGTATATAAGCAGTTGCTTCGCCCCTGTTGCCCATTTCTGTAGTTCAATAAAGGTTCTTGCTGTTATCACTCGTGGGAACTCACCTACACTTCAGGGAGAGTGCTCTTGAGCTTGGGTCCTGCTTGAGGGTTGCCCATAGGCAACTGTGATAACAGGATTCTGGACTAGATGGAACTGCCAACTTCCTTTTAATATTAAGGAACCAAGGAGGCTACATCACGCCAAATCAGACCACTGATTCAGCCGTTGTCTACACTGGCTGGCAGTGTCTCTCCAGGGTTCCAGGGTTCCTCTCCACATCTGCCTTGGGGATTGAACGTGGGACCTTCTGCATGAAAAGCAGACACTCTCCCACTGAGCTATGGTCAAAATGTGTTCACTCTGCAGCAAAGGGCTCTACCAAGGTCAAAATCTTCCAATTGCCGTCCTCAGTTGTTTTGGACGTTCCTAGAACATTTGCAGTTCAAGTCACTCTGTGTGGGCAGTGGGCAAGGGACGTGAGTATCGCCGTGGCAATTAAATGCCCCTTAAGTGACATATCGTGAACTTTGTCTCTGACCTCCTGCATAATCTGGGCCATTTTGGATGTCGGTGCAAACAGGGAGAAGGGAAATTGCTGGTACTTGGGAGCAGTTCAGCATAACCTCCAGGTCAAGAAGAGACCTTTCTGGGGCCGTGAGTTGGATTCTTCTCAAGCAAAATGAAAAGAACTGAAATATAACAGTGCAAGACCAAAGGAGCCGTGATTTGGAGTGTGTCTTGGTGGTTTTGCGTTGCTACATTAATGCAGTTAGGGTGGGCTCCAAACTGGATCACAGCAATAGTGTGATCTCTAGGTGGAAACTTGATCCTCCCCCTAACATCTGATTTGTTGATCAACAGGACTCCTGGGCTGTTTTTCTACTCTCGAAACAAAATACACCAGGTTTACAGTACATATCTTTTCCTCTGCTGAAGGAACCAAACTACAGTGGTACCTCGGGTTAAGTACTTAATTCGTTCCGGAGGTCTGTTCTTAACCTGAAACTGTTCTTAATCTGAAGCACCACTTTAGCCAATGGGGCCTTCTGCTGCCGCCGTGCCACTGGAGCACGATTTCTGTTCTCATCCTGAAGCAAAGTTCTTAACCCGAGGTACTATTTCTGGGTTAGCGGAGTCTGTAACCTCAAGCGTATGTAACCTGAAGCATATGTAACCCGAGGTTACAGTCTCCGCTAACCCAGAAATAGTGCCTCAAGTTAATAACTTTGCTTCAGGATGAGAGCAGAAATCGCGCTCCAGTGGCGCGGCAGCAGCAGGAGGCCCTATTAGCTAAAGTGGTGCTTCAGGTTAAGAACAGTTTCAGGTTAAGAATGGGCCTCTGGAACGAATTAAGTACTTAACCTGAGGTACCACTGTATTGCCTTGCTGAAATGGACCGATTTGCCAGTTCCCTCAGAGCAGGTGTGAGGAACCTTTGGCCTTCCAGATATTTCTGCACTACAACTCCCATCACCCCTGGTCATTGGCCATGTTTGCTGGGGCTGGTGGCAGTTGTAGTTCAGCAGTATCTGAAGAGCCAAAGGTTCCCGACACCTGCCCTGGGGGAACTGGCTTAGGGAAGAGTGGTCCATTCGACAGGGAAATAGAGTTCTGCTTAGTATGACATAGGCTCTGCCTTTTAATGGGAACGTTCTGCAGAACAACAGTGATAGGTCTTTTCTGTCTCCCCTGGTGCAAATTTTATTTGCTTAGCCAAATATATTTTTTTCATTTGTTATAGTATCAATATTGTAATCATAACCAACAATAAGTCTCACAGTGCTTTATAGTGTAAGCCCTCTGGCCTAGGCAGTCTACAGTCTAAATTCTGTTGAGAGAGAACATCTGAAGTTATCTTTTCTTCTTCTTTTTTTTTTGGATTTGATATCCTGCCTTTCACTCCCTTTAAGGAGTCTCAAAGCGGCTAACATTCTCCTTTCCCTTCCTCCCCCACAACAAACACTCTGTGAGGTGAGTGGGGCTGAGAGACTTCAGAGAAGTGTGACTAGCCCAAGGTCACCCAGCAGCTGCATGTGGAGGAGCGGGGAAGCGAACCCAGTTCACCAGATTACGAGACTACCGCTCTTAACCACTACACCATACTGGCTCAGTATGCTCTCCGGGGTCTCAGAAGATTGTGAGAGCCTTTCCCATCGCCATCTTCTTGGAATTGGAAATGCAGCCAGGGATTAGACCTGGGACCCCCTTTGGGGGGGAAGTGTGAGCACTAGCCCTGAGCTGCATCCCTTCCCTTCAGGAAAGGAATGAGCCACTCCCTGGGCAGATGTGCAGAACTGAAGACAGTCCTGCTCGCATCTACTCAGAAGTACATCCCATTGAGTTCAAGAGGTCTTCCTCCAAGGCAGACAGGTGAGTGTTTGCAGCCTTAGTTTTCTATCTTTACTTTTTTTTTAAAGATCATTGCCATGTTGATGATCTTTCCTTGAGTGGGTTTTTTTATCAGGCTGGGGGCTCCAAATATTACAGCCCACCCCCCGCTTTCCTGGCCAGGTCTCTGCTCATTCCCAGAGCCATTCAAGTGCAAATAAGGTTGCCATTCAAACATTGCCCTTCAATTGAGAGGATGAGAGGGGCTGAAGGACTCTTGCTTACTCAGCCACCACAGCAGTAAAATGAAGTATGTGTCGTTGGGAGGGTGGCGTGGGGTGGGGGCAAGGGAGATAATTATACCTGTGGCTGAGCCAGAAGAGGAGGAGATGATTCAGAGCTAACTAGCAGGAGCAGCTAATCAGTCCTATTGTATAACTAGGACCCAATCCCAATATCTGTTGCTCTCGCCTCAAGCTTCTCAGTGGCAGAACTGGGCTAGGCATGGCATTTAATGAGCAGGGGCAAAGGATGGGGGGCACTGTTGACCTTCTGTATGGGTCACCAGAGCTGCCCTTGATCTCTTGGACAAGCCCAAAGACCTTGCCTCTGGTTTACATCTACAGTCATACCTCGGGTTGAAGTAGCTTCGGGATAAGTATTTTTGGGTTGTGCGCTGCGGTGACCCAGAAGTAACAGAGTGTGTTACTTCCAGGTTTTGCCGCTCGCGCATGCGCAGACGGTCAAAATGACATCATGCACATGCACAGAAGCACTGAATCGCGACCCGCGCACACGCAGACGCGGGTTGCGTTCGCTTCTGGATGCGAACAGGGCTCCAGAACGCATCCTGTTCACATCCAGAGGTATCACTGTATTAAAGTGCTTTGGGAAGATACCATGGATAACATCACATGTGGGACAGAGACTTTATATTTTGTTTATTTTGTTTATAAGTCCATGTAATGAAGGAGCTTACAACATTAAACCCATTCACTCAAAGACACACTGGCTTTACATGGTTGCGCCCTTTGTGCCATCAGACAAAAGTGGCCTGGAATATTCATGCATAAACCCATTAGGATCCTTCCTAACGATGTGTTCCTAGGAGGATCTCCACATACTTACAGGGGAAGGGCAATGGCTTATGGTAGAAACACTTGCTTTGCATGCAGTGCATCCCAGATTCAGTCCCCAGCATCTCCAGGCAGAGCTGGGAGAGGCCTGTGCCTGAAGCCCCAAAGAGCCCCTGCCAATCAGTGTAGACAACGCTGAGCTAGATGGACCAATGGCCCACCTCGGTATAAGACAGTTTTCCATGTTACTGTGTTCCTTCCTCTGCCTCTTGATGGGCAATATCAAATATGAGGTTGACCACATGGAAGACCTTCAAAGAGGTCCACAGCTTTGCTTGCCACATGCTTTGCTTGCCAAGCCTTGCGGCATCCACAGATTCAGTGAGGTTCCTCAACCTTGCACCAGCAGCAAACAGCTCTCAAAATGTGGAGGAAAGAGGTGGGCCCCATTGCTTCCATCCCCCTGAGGTTGGTGACATTCGGTGGGAACGTTCCCAGTATCTAATTCCTGGCAGGGTCTCTCCTCTCATCCTTTTGTTTCCGGCAGTAATTGCCCGTGAACATGTTAATGTTTCTGGCAAGAGCCAGCTGGCCCTGGCAAAGACAACTCAGCCCAGGCATAAAGGGGAGCTTGTTGTGTGCGAGCCATTCCTGGGCTTCACCAGGCTGGAATGAGAGGAGGCAGCCAATGGGAGCAAACATGTGAGGGGATGGGAATGTGCTTGCAGGAAGGAGGAGAGTCAGAAGCACAGGGGAGCTTCTGTCAGAAGGGTCTGGGCTTCCCCCATAAACCTCACAGCCTGCGGCCAGGATACAGTCGAGTCATTTGCGACCTGTGGGGAATCTGCATTCTGGTCTCAGATCCTTCTGCAGGAGTGCATGGGAACAAGTGAGCAACACTGATCCTGTGACTGGCAGGTGGCAGGCTTATCTCTGAGGGTCCCACACAGCATACACTTGAAGCACTATTGACCTTATGAAGAGTCAATGGCTTCCCCCAAGGCATAGGAGCCAGCTCCTAGGGGCCAAGGGAGGCTGGGCCTGTCCAACGTTGATGGGCATTGCCCATCAAATGGTGTGTGTGTGCCATGTCATGTAATTGATTATTTGGGCTGGGGCTTACCTGACACACACACACACACAATATTTTATTCAAGTTGGCACCACTGCCCCAAGGACTTGGACCAGAGATCCTCTTTCAAAACAAAATACATCTTCAATTAGAGGGTGGACCTCTGTAAAGTAGGGCTTTTTTCAGCCGAAACTCACTGGAACTCAGTTCCAGTGCCATTGCCATTCTAAGAGTACGAGGAAGGTGTTCATGGTGAGTTCTAGCACCTGAGTTGGACACATGGCCAATTTCAGTAGGCAGCTCTGGGCTTGGTGATCTCATGCCAAGGCAGTTGTGTACAAGTATAAGAAGCAACAGGTGAATTATATATTATAGCAGTTTCCCACTAGCATTGACTGATGCTGCCCCATTGCCTGTGCTGATAAAGCAACCAAGAGGGGTCTTGGCTTGCACAGAGGCTACAGGCAGGTGCAGATACGAGATTGTCTTTCTCTGGCCAAAGCAAGCAAATAAAGAGGAAACATGGAAATAATCTGAAAACCAATGAAGCGGAGAAAGCAATGATTCCAGGGCATTCCACAGCACCGGACAGCTTTTTGCCCTGCGTATTACAAATCATATATCACTTGCTCCGGGCTATGAAGTAGACATCAGAAAGCTATAGCACAAGCTGTCGAGGGTCTGCCATCCCATCTGTCTAGCTGCCAATAGCTCAAGTAGCCTGGGAGCCCAGATGGGGCAGCTACCCATTGGCTCTAGGATAGGGTTAACTGCTTCTTTTGGGGGGGAAACCACTTGCCTCACTCTGCCTAACGGTAGAGCCGGCCTTGATGTACATTACTTCACTTACTCCAAAATGAAGCCAGCCA